AGGAAGAAGGATACCTAATCTCAGCTTGAACTCCATGACTCTGGGCGGAGGCTTAAAAAGTAGGGTGGCCCCAGTTTCTTTATCTACAACATCATTTCCCCAAGTTCTCTTTGGAGAATGACTTTGCTTCTTTCAGGTCTCTTGTTTTGATGGTTGGGTTACATTCAGTTCCCCAAAAGTGCCAAAAATACAGCTTGTCAATTCCTTTTGGAGAATAAGGTACTGAGTATGGCTTTTTCTTGTTGCTGCAGATTCTTGGAGTGTGTATTAGCCTGGTTCTGCAGAGAAGCAGGACTAATAGGAAATACATATAAGGAATTGGCTCATGTGGTTATGAAAACTGAGAAATTCCAAGACCTGGAGTCTGGAGAGGCAATGGTATACTCTTATAGTTCCAGTCTGAGTCTAAAGGCCTGAGAGCCAGGAGAGCTGATGGTATAAGTTCCAGTCGAAGTCCAAGTCTGCAGTCATGAGAAGACTGATGCCCCAGTTCAAAGACAGTCAGAGAGAGAGAGAGAGATGAGAGAGAGAGAAAGAATTCTCCTTTACTCTGCCTTTTTGTTCTATTCAGGCTTTCAATGGATTTAGTGATATCCACCCAAGGAAGAAAAGGATTAATCTGCTTTACTCAGTCCACCAATTCAAATGTTAATCTCATCTAGAAACACCCTCACAGACACAACCTGAGTAATGTTTAACCAAATGTCTGGGTACCCATGGACCCAAAAAATCCACACATAAAATTAACCAGAAGGAATGCTTGGTAAGAAAGAAAATCTTATGAGGTTTCTGAAGTAGAATCTGAAGTGAAATGCCCCAGCAGTTAGTCCCTACAGAAAGCATTTTCCAACATACCATTGGGAGGGTATGTCCTCACTGCTGAGAGCCACAGCTCTGATGGCTTTCCCTGCCACATGGTCAGGTATGGTTGCACTGGTCCAGCCAGTTGTACCCTGAACAAAGGTTACTGGGCAAAGGGGCAAGTGAAGACTGAAATGCAACCCATGCTCTACTTGCCAAGCCATGTACTTAGGCAAGGGGCTGCATCAGCCTTGGGAAAGGGAGATGCCTAATGTGCCCAAAGTGCTGTGTAGACTGGTGAAAGCCGTGAAACCAGGTCTCCTTATGTATGCTGAGTGTGAGCAGAGTGTCCTAGGTGGTGTACCATGGTATATTACAGGTGTGCAAACCCTGATTTTTTTTCCTATGTAGTGTTGCTGAGCAGGTCATCATCTGCAGCCATGAGAAGCCTCTAGCCA